AGAAATATTGTTATAGTACTATAGCATTATAGTACTATAGCACCACAGTGCAATCTTTATGATGTAATTAAAAATGTTATAGTTTAATAAATTAATATTGATCAAAAATAAAATAAAATGAAATAATAAAAAAAAACTTTCCTAACTTTTTTTACTTACACCTAATAATACCAAAGAAGCAATATAATCATAACCAAGATAGCTATAAAATTAATAATATCGTATTGTATAAAAATCAAATTGAATAATATACAAATTTAAGCAACCTTTTCTAACTTTTGTCACTTACACTTAATAATACTAAAGTAGTGATATAATAGTAACCAAGCTAGCTATAAAATTATTAACATCACATTGTATACAAATCAAATTGAATAACATAAGATAAATATGTCTAATTTAGTATAGCTAAGTTTTATGATAAATATTATATAATATATCGATCAGAATCGAATAATTTTGGTACTATTCGATTTGTCTCATTAAAACGAATCAAATAGTACTAAAATCATCTGATTCTAATTACTAGATTACGAGATATCTATTATATTAAAAATGTAGCTGTCATATGATAGTGACACTTAGATTACTCTATATAAATATTTTTTAATTGTGTACTGATGATCATGTAACCTTATATCACATAGATTTTTCACTAGCTAAAAATTTGTATAACCTTATATAATATTAGTTTGTACTACTATATTACATGAATTTTCCACTATCTATTAGTTCTTGGTATATTGTGACTTTTTTTAAAAAAGTTGTATTTTATTTTTATAATATTATCTTATACTTTTAGCTTCGCTTAATCAAATATTACTTATCGCTATTTAGTAATATATGACAAAATTGATTTATTAATAAATAAAATTAAACCTGACAAAATAACAAAACTCTTGACAAAATTATTTTGATCTATAATTAATATTGAATTAGAATATTATTCTAAGGAGTATGCTGTCTAAGTTTATAGAAAAATTTCTTGTGTTTATATAAAATTTTTGGCACAATTACAAAATAATGAAACTATTCATTAATTCAAAAATAATTTTGTCAAGCACTTATATCACTATTATATACACATGAAAAAATTCTGTGCCAGATTTTGTTGATTATTGTGACACAGTTAAAATTTTTAAAGTTTAAAATATTAAAGTTAGCATTTAGAATAAGGTTAGAGATTAGGAGCTTAAATAGTAAAATCGTTCAAGAAAACCTTTTTGTTAGAGCACTAAAGGTGGTTTTTTAATACAGATTTTGAGAAATAAGCAATTTTTGACAAAACGAATGTTTGTTTTGAAATTTCCTGATTATGTTACATTACACTTGATTCATGAAATTTGATTAGTAGTTTAGAGATCTGTGTCACAATAATCAACAAAACCTGGTACAGAATTTTTTATGCATTATATATATATAGGCCAGAATACACTTTGTATAGTTAATGAACAAAAGCCAGATATTATTTACTTTTATTATTATTGTTTGATTTATCTATTATATTAAAATCGTTTATATCATATGATAATTACCTATATAAATATTTTTTAAAATGTGTAATATATCTTGGCAAATCTACACAAATTCAAACCGTGACAGGTTACTTAGTATGAAATTCTTTGAAAAAAACATGTCACACAGTACTCTAAAGTATTTTACAACAAAAATAAAACAACCTTTACCTCTGTTACATATTAAATATACTTGGCTAGAACGTTAGTTAAGCTATTCAAATGGTTTGAAAAATTATTTTCAAATAAACATCATTTATCTTAAATATAATAAATTTACAAATCTTGGCTACGGTTTTTGGCAAGGTTTTTAAATACGAGTGAAAAGATAGTGAATTAATAGTTGCTTAATTCCAATATCGATTTAAGTTTAGACCACATAAAGCTAAATTGTTATTTTGTATTATATGATCTAAAATTTAGAAATTTGGACAAGTTTGTTGATTTTTTTTTCTGATAATATTTCAAATAATTCTGGCTTTATTGGGTGACAAAACAATTAGTATAGTTAAAATTTTTAAAAAAAATTAAAAAATTGAAAAAACAGTTGGTGGTTAGTCAGGTTATACAAAATGAAAAATTAATTTTGCATGGCCTTAAATAAAAATTATTGTCACGACTGGTGATAAAATTGGCTGTTATTAATCTGGGATCTCAATCTACCAAAATCCACATATACTCTTTTATTAACAACTTTATATATGAATTATAATTAAACCCTACTAAAAAAATGTATTGTATAAACTTTTTAAATTTTCGTATCAAAATAAGATTAACTCTTAGAATCAGCCCAATTTAGTACCAGCCTTGACAATATAGTATGCATAAAATTATCATTGTTTATACACATCAGTACAAGTTTAAGCCATTAGCGAAGCAATAGGTTACAACTAGTTACTTATTAAAGTTTATCTAAAAAACATATTTCTAATTTGATAATGTGACTAATTCAGCATATTAACAATATCTAATAATATCTCATAAACTATCAATCAGAATTACATGATTGTAGTATCATTCAATTCATCTTATCGAGACAAATTGAATAGTACCAAAATCACACATTTCTGACTAATAGTTTGTGAGATATTATTATTTAACCAAAATAATCTGTGTAAAACAAATCATAAAATTAATACAAAATCGTAAATAATTTTTAATAGATTGGTCCATTTTTAATGATTTTACTATCAAAATAATTGCCTAAAAGAGATGATTTTAACGAGCCCAAAATTACTAAAATCTAATCACAGGATCATAAGATCATTAAGATTTTTATATTATTTTTGATGAAAATTAGATTAGTAAACTAATCAATTTTTATTAAAAGTAATACAAAAATCTTAATGATTTTGTGATCCTGTGATCTGATTTTAGCAATTTTGAACTTGTTGAAATCATCTCTTCAAGGTGATTATTTTGGTGATAAAATCATTAAAAACAAACTAATCTATCAAAAGTTATTCATAATTTTATGTTAATTTTCAAAAATTATTTATACATAGATTATTTTAGTTAAATAATAATATCTCGCAAACTATCAGTCAAAAATACATGATTTTGATACTATTTGATTCATCTTGATGAGATCAATCAAATAGACCAAAATCACATGCTTCTAATCAACAGTTCGTGAGATATCGTTAGTGTGCCGAATTAGGCACTGTGTCAAATTAGGCATATCTACCTTACAACCCAAGCAAATATAATATTTTGTGATTGAGGTAATGCAATAAATAAAATCACTAGTAATAATGAATTATATAATGACAAATTGTATAATAACAAAATATATAATATAATGAATTCTGAAAGTACCTACCACAAAAGAATTCTAGCAAATATAATAACTTTCGGGTAGAATAATATGATTAGTAGAATTGATAAGCTATATAAAAATAATCAGTCTGATCTTGAGAATCTATTTAAAAGTGAGAATAACTTTATATTGAATTTAGGAGCTTATCAGGAAGAATTTGAGGTGGATACAATGTTTAGTAACTGGAATTATGTAGATGATAAATTCAGTAAACTGTATATTAATAATTATACAGAATATAGTATTAGTAGTGATATGTTACATTCAAATAAACACAACATAGAGAATCTTGAAAGTAATTAACACTATGAATTGCAAGTAGGAATAATGTTTCTTGACTAGAATCAGGCTATGAGTAAACTTAAAAAGTATGAAAAAAAAAAAGGTTTAGAATACGTTGTTATCATATTGAAAAGCTTAAAAATAAGAATAGCCAGAAATATACAATAGTTTGTGAATATTTTGAACAACCTGAGGCAACAAAAAGTAAGGATCCAAAAAAAGAAACTACAACTAAACATATTGAATATACTTGGCAAATAAATCTGTTATATCCTGAAAAAAATAATCTTTTCAAAACTATATATATTGCAAAATTAGTTAATAAACATAGAAATTATAATTTTAATCAAGCTCGTTACAACTGTCAAAAAAACATATTGTTTATAGAGGAGATAACTGAAAACATTGAGTTCTTTGTAAAAAAAAATAAATTGTAGCTCCCAGCAAATTTGTAAGGCTCTTGAAGAGAAATATTTTGTAAAAGTCTATATGCTAATATTGTAACAAGTAATTTAACATTTTTGTCTAAAATTGTATAATCAAACAAATAATGCTAGCAAGTTGTATGAAGAATTGTTAAAGAGAAAGAAAATTGATCTCTAATGGTATATTCAAGTAAATTAGGATTCTAGCAGTAAATGTTTTCATCGGTTATTCTATATGTCACCTGATCAAATTAAATGATAGCTGAAGTTTGGTGATATTGTTCTAAATGATAATACTAGTGCTACTAATTGTTATGAGATAGTATTGTTGCTTTTTTTGGTGATCAATAGTTATTTGTTTTCTCGATTGGTAGCCTAGACATTAATGAATAATAAGGCAAAAGAGGTGCATAGTTGGATATTACAGCAAATCAAAAAAGCAACATATGGATCTGCTTCTCAAGTTATTTTTACTGACACTAACCCTGCTCTAGTTGTTGCAATATATAATAAATTTCTAACTACAAATACTCTTAACTATATATTTTACATTGCACAAAATATTACTCTTAATCTGAAAAACTATCTTAGAGACAATTATAATGAATTTGTTAAAGATTTTTTTAAAATGCAACAAATTAACTTTGTTATGATCTTTGAATATCAGTAAAAATGTTTGCTTAAAAAGTACAATAAGGAAAATGTGATTAATTATTTACAATGGCTTTATGCTAATAAAAAATCATAAGCAAAAGTATTTGTACTTAAATTATTTACAGCAGGGATGTTATCTACTTCTCAAATTGAAAGCTATAATTCAAAGGTTAAAAGATTGATCTTTAATTCCAATACGACTATATTAGAACTTGCAAAAAAATTAATAGCATGTATTCTTGAAGAAGATAAAAAAACTAAGTACAGATTATTTTGTGCTTCAGTTTCTAAGACAGTTCTGGTTGCAATGGCTGATACTATTCTTCTAAACGTTTGCAAGATGATACACAAATATTTAATAATAGAAATATTAAAGATTCAAGAGGATCAAATAAAGCAATCACTTCAATATCATGCTATAATGGTGGCCCAAAATAAATTGCAAAGATATTTTACCGTAAGTAATAATGGAGATCAACTATCTGCAGATAATTATCTGCATGATAATTGTATTGTAATGGCAAAATATGTATTTTTTCTATTTCAGTTGTTAACTTTGCTTGTCATTAATAGATAAATCTAGAAAATTCTACTCTATATAGTAAAAATCAAGATTTTGATATTATTGCTAAGTCAATGCTTGATTTGGTTAATTCAAGCAAGATTGTAGAATATAAGAAGCTTAACATATAATATCAAATGAAGTACAATATTTAGTAATACTTTTAAATAATGGAAGTCATTTATGTTCTTGCTTTGACTATTGTAATCATGCAATTATTTGTCGCTACTTCTTTCAGATAATACTATGTACACAAGCTGCAAAATTCTATATTTAGCTCATTAGATCACAATGATATAAAGAAAGAGATAATGATCTAGCACAAGAACTATTTCTAGTTGCACAAAAATTTGAGATAGAACAATTAGAAACAATGGGCTGGAATAGTTTGGTTTCTCATCTTAATACTTTAATTCAAGACTCTGTATATAAAATGCAAGATATAAACTACAAGACTATAGATAAATATAAACTGTATAGAAAAGTATGAAGCAAGACAAGAGCGGCTTTGATGGTGGTTGTTCAAAAACATTATTATAATTTTATCACTATTCTTGACAAATATTTAGATGATTACTGAAAAGAATTATCTTCTAATAGTGATAGCAATAGTGATATTAGTGAAGCTGAAGCAGATAGTCAAACAGAGTTAAATTTAAAAGAGCCGAAAAATTCTTATAAGCATAAAGGTAAAGATTAGTCTAAAGGAACTGATAGAATAAGATGAGCAGATGAGCCACCAAAAAAAAAGCAAACCGAAAATTATATTGTAAAATTTGTAGAGATATTGGCTATAATCAGATTACTTGTTCTCAAAAATAAGAATTGTGATTTATATGTACTAATAGTAGAATATCACTAGTTACAAGTGATATTGGCAAGTCTATGCAAATTAAATTTATATACTTGATACTAAAAAGTTATCTTATCAATTTTCAGTTTATTTTTTTAGTATCATATAAGTTTTTTAATTTGAAACATCAAATATAAAATTATCAATTTAAAATTTCACTAAGTATGTAATGAGTAATATAAAATGTTAAGTTCATTTGTTTGCTTGCAAAAATACTTTTCTATTCTAATCTGAAATATTCTAACTATGAAATATTTATACTGGTAACAATACTAATAAAACAGTTTATAGTACAATCATCATGTAAAAATTTTATTTATTCTGTAAAATGCTAACTTGTATCTGTAAATAGTTCAAATAAAAGCTTTATAGCTAATTATTAACAGCCAATCCGATTTTAGATAGTCGCCAATTGCACTAGCAGTATTTGTTTCACCAGTATCTATAATTATCATTCATATTGGAGTTAAAAGATTAAAGCTAGAAATGGGGTTTGTATATAGTTGGATATGTAGTAGGATATAGATAGTTGATAATAGAGTTCGATTATACTAAATTGCTAGTTTGTGGTATGTTATATTAAATTTAGAAATTGTAGCTCATTGTCATTCATTATACAGATTATTGATAGTGGTTGGTTGAAAGTTTGGAATCTATCTTTTTCAGTATCACTATAAAAAATTTCTTTCTGATAAACTTCTTTGAATTCATTTATGTTATAGTTAGTATTAGAGTTTGAATTTAGATGATTATATAGTAAAATCGCTCAATTGTTTTTTTTTTTTTTTTTTTTTAATATCAAAGTGATCTCATAGTTGGTTGCCTTATTAGTTTTTGTGCTAAGCTGATCAAAGTTAGCTACTACTCATTTGGTATATGGTTTTAGAGAATACAACTAGCTATATATACAACTTTTGATTGTCTATTTAAGTAGTCCACCTAAAGGTTCTATACTAGATGCTATATCTATAATCTGACTAGAGGATTACCTATTTAAACTCTTTGCGCTGTCATATCCTTATGAGAAACCAATACCTGCCATAGGAAGCACCCGACCTAGGGCTAATTTACTCTCGAGATAAACTTGCTAGAGCTTTCTATACTTACAATCTGGCTAATCTAGACTTCGGTAATTTACGCTAAGTCTGAGAACAAGTATTTGCGAGCTGAGGCTGCTACTATTACCTACTTCTGCCCTTGTAGAGTTCACTCAGACCCCAGTACACACTTTACAAACTATCATTGATTTTAATCCCAACAATTCCAAACTACCAATTCAGATGGCCCAGAAGGGCTATAACCTGCTCCTAGTCCCCACAGTTGAGTTTTTTTTCTCTAGTTACTCTTCTAGTGGCCTGGTTGGTAGAGTGCTTTGCTAAACACTTTGGTTCTATTCAGTTCTGCCAGTTTTCTTGCTAACAATCTTTTAAGTAGTACTGTCAAAAATCTGTGCTATCTCTTTACTTGGGTCTTGCTAAGCGTATTCTATCGTCTTTCCCGGTTCCTTGGGTTTACAATGATCTGGAGACTTATTCATGTAACTTGTGTATCACACAAATGCCCATGATCTTCCAATCTTGTTGGTGCCACCAAAGTTACAAAAATCTCGTTCCAACCATTAATCGGATGGCAATAATGTTATACAGGTAGAATTTTTTCAAAATTCATCGGCAGTGGGTTTCGAACCCCCTATCTAGCCAACAATCGCTTGGGGATGCAACAACTTAACCACTTCACTAAGTTGTCACACCCTTAATCACTCAATTGTTAATACACGAAAGATATAATTTTTTATACAAATTCTTGAGAAATAAGTGATTTTTGACAAAAAAGATATTTGTTTAAATTTTTTACTAAATCATGATTCTATTCAGAATCGTTAACAAAATTCTGCAGTTATGTAATTACCAATAAAATTCTTTAAAGCTTATTTAGATTTTGGTTAGAGTCTATTTTAGAATTAGAGTTTAGTAGTTTTAATAATAAAATCGTTCAAGGAAAACTTTTGTTAATATACAGAAGACAGTTATCTATACAGAATTTTGAGTTATAGGTGATGTTTGACAAAACAAATGTTTGTTTTAAATTTTCTTGATCGTGTAATATTATGTCTAATTCTGAAATCTGATTTGTGTAAGATCATGTGTATGCATTATATAGTACAGAAGAGTACCAAATCACGTGATAAATATGTGATTGGTTAGTTGGTGATTATAGTAAAGGGTTTATAATATCATATGCTAAATTATTATCTTAATATTTGTTATTTATACAGTATTAATAATAATAATATAGTATATATAGTAGTATAACAGTGCTATAGTACTACAATACTATAGCACTATAAAATAAATCTCATAAATAAAATTAAAAATATTAAAAAAATATAAAATAAAAATATAAAAAAATGAATTTTGCTAACTATAACCAGTGTTGTCATGGGATAGTTGTAAACAGTAAGTTTGAATATCTTAGACAATTTTGAACAATTAAATAAATTAAAATTACTTAAAATTTTATTAAGATAATCTAACTAAAATATGTTCAGCATATAAAAAAATATATAATCATATATTTTTTAAACAAATTTATTAATTATTAAAGCTTGGACATGCTCTTGACACTTGTGGACACTTGGACACTTGGACGTTAGACAGTACCAAAAAAGCCTTTGGACAGTCAAAATATACAACACTGACTATAACTGGGGATGGCTAAAGCCAGGTACATTACGAAAATTACCTGATTTTTCTGATTTTTAATTAAAATTAATTAATATTAGGGTTGGGTTAGATTAAGTAGTTTGTATAGTAAAATCGCATTTCCGACACTTTTACTTAGTGAACCAAGACTGGTTTAGATAGCTGTTTTTTATATTTTTCATGTTTTTGTCTTTGCCGTTTCGCTTGTTTTGTTCGGACTGATCCGGGTTATATATCAGGTAATCCCATGATGTACCTGGTTTTAGCCAGCTCCTATAACTGGTAGTAATATCACTAGTATATAATTAGTCAATAAATTTGCAAGATTAAATATAATATACAAATTAATTTATATAACAAAAATAAAGATTTTTTAAAAAATACTAATATCTCAAGAATTCGCCTATGAAACTACCTTTAATATTCTAATAAAAAAATTTCTTGCTAAATTTTGTATATATCTAATACTTTACTAAAATCTCAGACTTTACTCTAACTCTAAAGTAAATAAAATGAAATCTTTTTTTGATTTATCATTATTGGCTAATTATATACCAGTGATATTATCACTAGTTATAGTTAATTAAATTTATAAAAAAATATAAAAT